CCAGACAGACAGAGAGAGACATAGAGACAGAAAGCGAGAAATCACCCCCCAGGGGGGATGGTCACGCCGCAATCCCTTCTCCTCCATTCTTCTCTCGGCATCTTGGGACGCACGCACACGCGCCTGGCGTGAGTTTTAAGCCACCGGGTCCGGGACACGAACCGCGGTCGACTACGTGGGAGTCCAGCGACATAGCCATTACGCTAACTGCTGGTTCCCAGCTTTTCTTAATATTTAGACCTAGCACACAGTTTTGCTTTAATCCAGAGAGAGGAGAGACCAGAACCTTTATTTTCTTTTTCATTTTTGTAACTTTTCATTTTGAGCAATTTCCAAGTTATAGAAAACTTTCAACAGCAGTGCAAAGAGTTCATATATATCCTTTATCCAGATTCAACAGTGGTCACTATGTTGCTCCATTTGCTTTATTGTTCTCTCTCTCTCTCTCTCTCTCGTGTGTGTGTGTGTAGTGTGTGTGTGTATATACATACACATTTTTTTCTGAACCATTTGAGTTATGTATAAAACACTCCTTTATCCTTAAATACATCAGTATACATTTCCTAAGAACAAAACCATTATCTTTTATAACCACAGTACAGTAATCAAAACCAGGAAATTTAATTGGTATGAAGCTCTTATCTAATCCAGAGTCATTATTCAAATTTTGCTACTGATCTTTTATAGTTACTTTTTTATCTGAACTAGAACACACTCCAGGATCAGGCATTGCATTTAGTTGTCATATTTCTTTAATACAAACTCTTATTTTCTGATTAATATTTTTAGGGATTTATGTCAAAACTTTCTTTTCTTTTCTTTTTAGAGAGAGAGTTGTTTTGTTTGTTTGTTGTGTTTTATTTTATTTGCTTGTTTGTGTTTCTCCCACATGCACTTGTGGGAGAGACCAAAAGCAGGAAATCACCTCCCAGGGGTGATGGCCATGCCATACCCCTTCTTCTCCATTCTCCTTTCAGGATTTTGGGCCTGCATACACATGTGCCTGGTGTGAGTTTCAAGCCTCCTGGTCTGGTACTCCAACCACAGTTGACTACATGGAAGTCTAGCAACATAACCATTATGCCATCTGCTGGTCCCAAAACCTTACATTCTTAATTATTATAAAATAACAATGATTTTAAAATTCTAAAATTTCAGTTAATTTACTCTTTATCAGCTAGAATGTGGGCATCTGCCAGTACAAATTACCTATATTACATAGGGAGAGCATCACAGACTTTGGATAAAAGGCTTTCCTTTACACAAAAATGGGATTAGACTGGAGATTATAGAAGATCTGAGGTCCCAGACAATAGGCTATTTCTCAGTAACGGTAAGTCAGGCACCTGTATGACCTGGTAGGAGAAGGAAATTGTGAATATCTAGGTATGATATGCTGAAGAATCATAAACAGCTTCCTAGGGATTTTCAACAGTGAGCCGAGCATCTAGTCTGTGTGCTGTAGTGTCCCAGAGGAGCCCACGGTGTTTATTATCCCAGCCTCCTATGGAAGAAACAAAAGTTTAGAAACCATCAGAAATAGATACTTATCTGCATCAAGCCTGTTGAATCAGCTGCAACAGAGATATGGATCCCAGGTCAACCTGAGCATGCTGGCCTTCTGACAGGTGCCTCTGTGATCCCGGCTGGTAAGGATCAGGGGAATAATAACATGGTGAGACACTGTCAGGGGTTCCCCCCTCTTCACCATGAAATAAATAGATAAGCAAACTTTTAAAATTCTATTGAGTTTGTTAGATGCAGTGTTAAAATAAGTTTCATTTAGAAAACACCAGTATTTTAGGGCTACCAACAGTTACCTAAAACATGTTTCAAAACTTTCAGGTTTACATTCCAGATAACTAACGAAAGGGTCTAACACGGTCTAATAGAAAACTATTTGATAGGGACCAGCAGATGGCATAATGGTTTTATCACTGAACTCCCACGTAGTCCATCAGGGTTCGAACTTCGACCCGGGGGACCACAAACAACTCATGCCAGGTGTGTGTGTGTACCTGCCTAAGATCCCAAGAGGAGAATGGAGGAGAAGGGATTGTGGCATGGCCATCCCTCTTGGGGCATAATTTCTTGCTTTCTGTCTCTGTTTCTCGGACGAGCATGTGTACATTATAGCAAAAATCTCTCTTTAAAAAAAAAAAGATGACTATTTGACAGTTAAAGAACTCTTACTATTTTTTATCAAATGGCAAGAAGAGGTAAGAAGGTTCTGTTCTATATGGTAGAGAAAAACATAATTAAGAACAATTTTAATCATAATCATCACCTCCATCTGATTAGTCATAAAACGGGCTTTTTGTTTAATTTGCTGAATTGTAACTACTCTATACTTAGATTTTTCTATCAGGAAGAAAGGATAAATTATTTCAATGAAATACTTTTAGATCCAAATGATTTACATCCTATTTCCCCTTTAATTAAAGTTGATACTCAAATTTCTAGTTTATATTTTTTTCTCCTCTCAGAAAAGGAAATTATGTTATTCTTTTTCTGAACCTTGGGAGGTTTAAAGCTACTTAAAGGCAGAACACCACAACATACACTTAAAGTAATTTTAAAAATAAGTAAAGGTGTTGCTGGCTATAATTGTTGTATGATTTCAAAGAAAAGCCTTTGAGGGACCAGCTGATGGAATAATGGTTACATCGCTGGGCTCCCACCTGGCCAACTGTGGTTCAAGTCCAGACCCAGTGACTTGAAACTCATGCTGGGCGCATTTGCCTGTGTGCCCAAGATCCTGGGAGTAGGATGGAGGAAAAAGGATTGCAGCATGGCCATCCTCCCTGGGAGTGATTTCTCACTCTGTCCCTCATTGTGTCTGTCTCTCTCTCTGGCAAATGCACATACCCCAAGGCAAAAATCTATAAAGAAAGAAAGAAAGAAATAGATTAAAAAAAAGAAAGAAAGAAAAGAAAAGCCTTTGAGTTAGTGAAAAGTTAGTAGAATGAGTTTGAATCAATGGAGAAGGGGGAATGCTGGCTTTCAATGTAGGAAGATTTCTTCAAGGATAATTTGTGGTTAACTGTGGTGTGGTAGACCCCATGGCATGGATAACCAGAGTGCATTCAGGGCATGCTTGAAGAAAGGGCCAAACCAAGGAGTTTAGATTTGGGATGATAAATATCAATAGTTCATGTCCTACTTTAATTTCTTCCATTTTTTACCTAGTATTCAGGGTTTTGTAGGAAATTAATCTGCTGCCATATATAAAGTGATCTAGAGAGGGAGAGGCTTAATGAAAGCCTAGACAATACTGATGGCTATGGGGATGGAGGAAAAACAATTTGAGCTATGTACGTGTCAAAAATATCCCTAGGTCCTATGCCCTAGTGGTTAGGGACCCTGGATCCCATATGGTCAACCATCACTTGAATCCCAGCTTGGCAGCTTGAAAAACACCCTGGGTGCATGTACATATGTACCCCAAATTCCAATAAAATAAAGAGGTGGAGGAAAATGAATTGTGGTGTTAGACACACCCCATTGAAGGGGAGGTGCATGCCCATTCTTGTGTCTCTCTAGTAAGCACATATGCACTCTGGCAATTAAAAAAATATATATCCTTGGTACCTTCATACTAAATTGACATTCTCTTTGGTTTTATTATTTATAGCACCTTCTCAAAAACAATTGTAAAAGGCGCCAAAAGGGCAGGGAAAATGACAATTGGGAGGCAATATTTATTGAAGAGGAGAACGGGGACAATTATGGAAGAGAGAGTAAATCGTCCTGGATGGAATGAAGACGATGACGTATCTGGTATGTGAGAATTTTCCCTTTGTGATTTAATTTATTTCACTCTTTAAATAAGCAATTTAGGATGTAGGTGACTCATTAAAAAAATCTCATGAGAAGATTGAAAGCACTTATCAGCTTCTTGGAATTTGTGGGGGATGGGGATTACTTTTCCAATATTACATTGTTTAGATAAGATTTTGTTACTAAATCCATATAGGTGATGTTTATGTAGGTCTCATGAAAGGGAAAAAGAAGGAAACCCCAGGATGTAGGGAATTGCAGTATAGGGTAATACCCTGTATCTTTTTCTTAAAGATTAAGGAAGTAAAGACATTGAATTTCAAAGTTGAAGATTTCTGGTTTTGGTAAAAACATAGTGGTTGCTCTTAAATCAAAATAAATTACCTGAGATGAAGTAATTCCTAGCTGATTTAAAAAAAAGAAAAGAAAAACCTAAATATTTAAAAGAGCAGAATTTGAGCAGCTGAGATACCTCCTAGTTGAGAAAATGGAGGCAGAAATCCAGTAGCAAAATGTGTTATTGAGTAATCGTGTCCTATTCTTAATGCAGTATCAAGTATGCTATGGAATTACTATACAGAATCTGATCTAATCTGAGAGGCAGAAGTCATTACACCCCTTTGCTTCTCAGAATCTTAGAATCAACCATGATTATATAACTACTTAAAATAATGTCAGCAAGTCCCAGACACAGCAGCTTGAGAGACATGCTGGACGCATGTGTTTATGTGCTCAAAATTTGGAAAGGAGAGAGAAATGGAGGAGAGATTATAATGTCACCATTCCCTATGGGGAAGATGCCTTCTCACTTTCCCTCTCTCCATCTCTCTCCAGTGAGCACACAGTCCTCTGGCAAATTAAAAACAAAACAAAACAAAACCAAAAAAAACTACTACTCTTTCTCATCGTTAACTTTCTCATTCAAAGTTTTCAGTCATTTCATGGAATAGTTGTTCCACCAGAAGACCAAGTTATATAGTGTTGTTTGCTCCTCTGAAGATAAAGGGCATAAAACTGATTCCTGATCAAATTGTTTTGTGAAGTTCACAAATTAAAACACATGAAGTCTTTTTTTTTAAGTTTTCACCATAGAGTGCATGCATGCGCTAGAAAGGAGAGAGACAGTGAGAGGAGAAATCACCCCCCAGGGAGGATGGCCACACCACAATCCCTTCTTCTCCATGCTCCTCTGGGATTTGGGGCATGCACGCACATGCACCTGGTGTGATTTTCAAGCCGCCAAGTCCTGGACTTGAATCACAGTTTGCCATTTGGGAGTCCAGTGCCTTAACTACCACGCCAACTGCTGACCGCAACACACAAAGTTTTATGTTTTGTTTTCTTTCTTTCATAAAAAAAATTTAATGGAAGAGAGCCATATCTGTCCCTTACACATTAGTACTTTGAGTACATGTCTCCAAACTTTGAAAGTTTGATTTGACTTCTCACCTTTTGAAAATAAATAAGAACATAAATTAAGACAGTTTTTAACATGATTTTTTTTTCCAGTTAGAACATGCAGTACCAATTAAGAATGTCATTTTTTAAAAATCCTCCCTAAAATACTTGATTATTGAGTAAATTCCTCCACACTTAAAACCTTAAAGGATTCTGTAACCTGTGATTGCATAACAGCGAGGGAGTTTCCCATGTATACCACATCCTCTAAAAAAATATTTCCAGGAAGAAAGTATAACTTCTTCATACCTCTCTAAGAAAAGAAAGGGGTTTTTATTTCCTTCCAGTGACCTTCTGGTTAATCTGAAAATTTTTCATAGAATTTTGTGATCTGAAAAGTAAACTCAAACTTGGAGCATGTGTTTGTGTGGTGATCATAGGAGAGATGATATATTTGCCTCAGATAAACTTTGAGTATTCTGAGACCAGCAGTTAGCGTAATTACTATGTCACTAAACTCCCATGTAGCCGACTGTGGTTCGAGTCCCGGACCCGGTGGCTTAAACTCATGCCAGGTGCATGTGTGTGTGTGTGCCCAAGATCCCAAGAGGAGAATGGAGGAGAAGGGATTGCGGCGTGGCCATCCTCCCTGGTGGGAGGGGGGGTGGGTGGGGTGATTTCCCGCTTTCTATCTCTCTGTCTCTCTCCGTCTTTCTTGCAAGCACACGCGCCCTATAGCAAAAACCTCTCACCCCCAAAAAAACTTTGAGTATTCTTATAGAGTCCTAAATAGAAATTACTGCAATTAGGATTAATAAACAAACCTGACTAAAACAGAAAAATATAGGTAAAAAATATAAATTTATATTGTTCTTAGTAACTGTTTTAAGTGGCATTATTTTCCTGGCAGTTTTTTTAGTTAACTGAGTTACTGTATATTCTCTTATCCATTGCTGTTTTATGTGTATCTGAAGGTGATTCCTCTTGGAGTTATATGATTTAAATTTTAATACAGATAATACCTGTAGTTGTAATATAGACTGCCTTAGTTTCAAGATTCTCTTCAAAAAGAGGTCTTTAATTAGATATTTACTTTGAGCTAATCATTTCCTGAAAACCTGTTTCTGCCATCACAGTTTCAGATGATAGTGAACTCCCCACAAGTACCACCCTGAAGGCTGCAGAGAAGTCTACAATGGAACAGTTAGTGGAAAAAGCTTGTTTTAGAGACTATCAACGTCTAGGTTTGGGAACCATAAGTGGCAGCTCTTCCCGTTCAAAACCAGAGTATTTTCGAATCTCTGCCTCCAACAGGATGTATTCACTCTGCCGGAGGTAAGTCCGTCAGCAGGCTCCAAAAAGAGACCTCCTTTTCTTTCTTCTCATCTGAGACTTGAATGAGCTGTTTGCATCCACAGCCCAGGGACTGATAAAAATGCCAGGAAATAGGAGCAAGAGCTCCAGGAATATGTGTATGTAAGGGATACTTTTTATGCATGAGCAGGAAACTCACTGGCATTCCCAGAAACATACACACACACACACACACACACACAGACATTAGTCATATATACATACATATATGCACATATTAAGAATAAATCATTACAAAATAAAATTTTATAAGTGATGCAATTTTGGTACTACTGCTACTATTTATAGTAGCACCAAAAACATTAAATACTTAGGATTAAATCTAATAAAAGAATATTGAAGATCATTAAAGGTCTAGGTAAATAGATATTTCATGTTCTTAGGTTAGAGTTAGATCCTAAAATTGCATTTGTCCTGAAATTTATCTATATATTCAATGAAATCTCAATTAGTGTTGTAGCAAGGGACCAGACTAGCATAGCATTAAAATGCTATACTCTGCAAAGCAATCCCACATGAGGAGGTTTCCAGTTCAAGTCCAGAGACCTCCCTGAGCACATTGGGCACTTTCAGGGCCATGACACAGGGCTGGCTGAGGCTGGAGGTTGATCACAATGCTAAGACCCTGTTGGAGGTGCTATCTCTCATTCTCTGTCTCTCACATATTCATGAAAACATAAGTAAACTTAATTAATTAAAAGCATAAAATAAAAACTCCAGCAAAGTGTTTATGGAAAATTGAAACTAAAATTTCTATGAGTTGTATAAAAACAAAGATGACCAAGAGTAGTCAAGATGGTCTTACAGAATAACACCACATATATATCAAGACATTTTATAAAGCTGCATTAATTAAGACAGTGTGGGGTTGGCCCCAGGATGGACAGACGAGTGGAGCAAAATAGGGCATCTATAGAAACAGTCCAGTGTATAAGGACACTAGTTTTAAGATAAACATAGCACCAAAGAGCAGTGGATACATGTGGTTTTTTTCAGTAAATGGTGTTGGACACACACACACATACACACACACACAGACACACACACATGAAAAAATTAATCTTGATGGGCTGACCCTGTAGCCTACTGGTTAAGGGAGTCAGATCCCACATGGTTGGCTGCTGTTTGAATCCCAGCTCCAGTAGCTTGAAAAGCATGCTGGGCACATGTATATGCACGCCCCTGATCTTGACAGGATGGAGAAATGAAAGAGAACTGATTGTGGCATGCCCACACCTCATTGGGGAGGAAGAAAAGGTGTTTTCTGTGTGTGTGTGTGTGTGTGTGTGTGTATGTCTCTTTTATTTTTAATAATTATTTATTTAATTAATTTTATTTGTTATTTACTTATTTATTTTTCAACTTGACCAGAGAGAAAGAGAAAGTGAGAAAACAAGATACCAGTTCCAGAACTCAAACCGTGGTCGACCTTGTGGGAGACCAGCACCTTATCCACCACGCCACCTGCTGGCCCCTCTCACTCTCTCTTTCTGTTTCTCTGTCTCTGGCAAATATATGTGCCTTCTAGAAATTTTTTTTTTAATTAATTAATCTTGACCTCTACCTTATACCATATATAAAAAAGCTATTCTCTTTGGTCCATAGATCTATATATAAAAGGTTAAAACAATTAAGCTTTAGAAGACAAAAAAATGTTTTTATGACCTTGAGGTAGGGAAAAATTTCTTAGGACAGGAAAAGCATTGCCCATAAAGTAAAAGATTGACCAGTTAAGAACTTCATACACCAGAAAATATCATTAAGAGTAAAAATGGAATAAAAAGATGGAAGAGTACTTGAATGGGCACTTTTATATAAAATAAAATATCATGGTGGCAAAAAAAAAATCAGAAAAGATGTTTAATCAATTAGTCTTCAAATAAATCCAATGTAAAATCCCTATGAGATGTCTGTTTACCCAGAAAAATGGCTAAACTTTTAAAAACTGACAATACAAAGTATTAGTAAGGATATTAAGTATATAGATTCTCATTTATTGCTGGTGGGACTATAAATTGGTTAAATAACTTTAGAAAGTTATCTGGCTTATTAGGTATATTTTACAAAACTAAAAAAAATTGACCAGAGCCAGCACCATGGTATAGTGGTTAAGGGAACTAGATCCCATGTGGCCAGTTGCACAGTTCAAGTCCCAACCCTGTGACTTGAAAAATACACTAGGCTCATGTGTGTGCATGCTTAAAAATCCCAACAGGATGGAGAAATGAAGAAGGGATTGTAGCATGAGCACACACCATGCTTTCTCCCTCTCCCCCTCTCTGTTTCTCTCGTCATACGTATGCACTCTCCAGCAATTAAAACAAAAAAATAACACACACACACAAATAGATATCAGGGTAGTGTTTGGGAGTTTATAAGTATGAAATCTCTTTAGTGTAATATTTCTAAATAAGTTAAAGAAAGGAAATGACTCTTTGAAACCTGCCTATTTTCTTGTGCTTACCAATTTGTAAAACAATGTACTCTTGGGGCTAGCAGGTGGTATGGTGGTTAAAGGCACTGGATTCCCATGTAGCCAACCATTGTTTGAGTCCTGAACCTGGTGGCTTGCTTTCTCACTTTCCCTTTCTCTCTCTCTCAGTCTCTGTCTGATCAAATCAAAAAAATAATAGTAACAATAGAATTAAATAAATAAGTAATTCTTCTTTAAAAAACAAAATGCACTCTCATCTGTTTATTTTCCCAGATTCATATCTTGTAACTTTATGAGCTAATCTTTTATAAATAAATACCAATGTGCAATGTTAATAACATATTTGAACTTATTTTGACATTTGAACATATTGTTCACATACCAAAAATCATTTGGTTTTGATTTTTTAATCCTTTTACCATCTCAGACAGTCTAATGTTAGTGTTCTTTATTTTCTGTTGCCATTTCAGTGATCTCAGAGTTGTTGACAGTTTGACTTGTCATTCTCATAAAGTTGGCATTAATCCACTAATTTTTTGTTTGTTTGTTTTTTGATTTTTGCCATAGGGCATGTGTGCTCACCAGGGA